TGAAGTTCTGATGAATATACGAGATCAAGATAGATAAGAACATTAAAGTCTATAATACATGTCTAATCTACACCACTAGAATACCGAAAAGATAGCACGAACACCACACGTGAGATGGTAGTCAACCCAGAACCAACATGTAAGAATCGAGACATGGAACACAATTAGGTTAGTGGTGTAAATTTCCATTTTATTAATTAAATCTTGTTTTTTTATAAACAGGATTTTAAGAGGTAAAAAAAATAGAGTCAGTATGAACTTATTCAACTATAACCAAGAGCAACCCCAAAAATTAATTAGCTACAAATATATAAATCACAGTCATCTTAAAAGCTTTCCTTAAGCAGAAAAAAGACCCATATTGTAGGATTTCGGCAAAATGTAAAGATACACTGGGCTAGATAACATAAAATGTTAAGATTCGAGGATGATTACTTGCTGAAATGATAACCGCAAGAAGGTTTAAAGAAAGAAAACCCAAACTATAATGCAAACAATTCAACTTCACCTGCATATATCGCACCACAGTGCTAGTGTAATCAACTGCTCTCCTCTGGGTAAGCTTTCTCATCCTTTTTGCAGCAAAACCGTCAGGATGAGCTGCAACAGACATGCCATTTGTCGTCCATTAAGAAAGAAACGGAAAAATCATAATCTACACTAAACTTCTAACAAAATTCTATGGCCACTTTCCAACCATTGTTTACACCTTCAGCCTCACTGGCACGCCCTTGTAAATTGCATATTTAAAAAACCTCAGGATGCAAAACCAGGTCTAGGGTCTAATTTACAACTCATTCCTTCAAAACCGTGTACTTTAAAGATGTAAATTTCAAAGTTGAAAACCCCAGTCAATAAAAGAAGTAAAATGCAACCAAAATCTTTTCTAGGATTTCCTAACATACTTGACTTCACTAGGTAAAACACTTCCATACACTTGAAATTCTTTTATTTTATTTTCCTTTCCGTTTTCCTAGAAACCAAACAGAACAAAACCAAAATAAGAAAGCCAAAAGGCATAATTTGGTACAAACCATCGTAAGGAGGAAGAGGAGGAGCGGGACCAGATGGGTGGTGATACTCTGGGGCCATTTTAGTCGAAGAAGCCGACGACTGACGCATCACTGGCGCTGGAGGCGGGGGCCTCCTGTGAAATTCTCCACTTTGCTGCTGATGCTGCTGTTGGTGGTGTTGCTGTTGAGGATCAGGGTACATCACTGTCGCCCCAAATCGAAGAACTGACCCTAACTCTAATCCTAGAAGATAGAGAAATGCACATAAAGAGTGAATGCAGTAGCAAATAAATAGTGGGTTGGCAACAAAACCTGAGAGTCAAAGTTTTCGACAACTGGGAAAAACCCAGAAGCCAAAACAAGAGAATTCAAGATAAGCAATTATCGATGTCTCTTGAATTAAATGCCTTTTTTCAATTCCAATTTTATCAGTGCCATAGCAAGCTGAGAAATGGAGAAATATGTACCTTTCTTATGCTGAATAAACCACCTTTGACTGAAGCGGGTTTATGAAAAATGCTAGTGGTTTGGTTCTTGCAGACGAAGAGAGAAGATGAAAATATCCAAGAGGGTTCAAATTTGAAGCAACAAACTGAGAAATTTGAGCATGTTGAATAAAAAAGTTCGAGCCAAAAGGGAGCTTGGGTCTCTCAGTTGAAGCGGGTTAGGGATTTCGAACCAAAAAAATAGGTGGGTTAGGGCAATCGGAAACCTGATGTTTTACTTGGGTCCATGTCTTCAAGCGGGTCATCTTCACTCAAAATGTGCTGAGATTTGCACGGCCGTTTGGTTCATGGAAAAGGAGACTTGAAGATGAGAAATCAATTATTTTCCCATGTTTGGTAAGTCCAGGCATATGAAATCGTTGCCTAGTTCATGGGAAAGTAGGGGGAAAGTAAAACCATTCTCCCAACTTGGGTTTTGTTTTCCCTCCTCATGGGAAAGTTTGGGGAAATAAACCAACATTAAATATACATTTTTCATGACCATTTTGTCCCTATTAACAATTTATAATTACAATATATCATTTAATGCATTTTTTTTATTTAATTTAATATAGGTATAATTGAAAATTTATACGAACTTTGTTTTCCATTCCTACTCAAAACAAACATGGGAAAGGAAATAAAGTATTATCTCCCGATTACTTTCTCAGCATTACCAAACGTGGGAAATGAATTTTCCGTTTCTCATCCCTTGGGAAATGACATAGAAAATGATTTCCCCTCAAATTCATTCCGCGAACCAAACGGTATCTGTTGTTTCCATCCATTGGTGGAAATTACAACTCCGCAACTGCTACTAGAAATTTAATATGAGATTTTCACGTCAAATTAGGGGTGGACACGATCCGATTCGGCTCGGTTTTCATCTAAAATCAAAATTGGTATCGTATTGTTCATCCAATCCGGTTCAATTCAGTTCATATAAAAATTCATTAACTAAATCGAATTAACTCATACTAGTTTAGATCAAATTCGGTTTCAATTTTCCGGTTTGAACCAGCTCTAAGGCCAATTGATAATTTGTTTTTCCTTTATAAATAAATAATGAAAATAAAAAAATAATCATAATAATCGTAGATCAAGATCAATGAGCAAACCAACGCAACCAACAATGCTTTTACAAAAAACAATGGAGCATCTAAAGAAGACTAAAATACCAAAACAGATCCAACCGATGCGCAAAAAGAGAGTAAGAAACAAAAAGAGAAATAAGATAGAAATGAAAAAGTAGTAGCAGCTAGGGTTTTCTTCAAGAGAGAGAGAGAGAGAGAGAGAGAGAGAGAGAGAGAGAAGGCACCTGATGGCTAGGGTGAGAGAAAAGAAGAAAAGAAAGAGAGAAGAAAAAAGAAAAAAGAAATGGAGAGAAAGCCCACCTGACTACAAGAGAAAAAAGGGAAGAAAGAAAAGCATGCTTTGCTTTTCTTTTTTTAGCTTTTCAATTTTGGGATAACAAAAAGTACTTTTTCTTTAGTGGGCTTGGAGTTGGGATTGAGGTATACTTGATAGGTTTAGGCCCAATTGTTTGGGCTTGAAGCTGGGAATGGAAGGTTTAGGTAAAATGAGGCCAACTGCATATATACAAAATAAATAAATAAATATTAATTATATTCAAGCCAGTTCAATTCGTAATCGAAATCATTCAGTTCGATTTATTGACCGGTTGTTGACTTTTTGGTCAACTCAATTTTTTTTTTCTCAATGAGATTCGACACAGCTTTCCTGTTTGCCAATTTAAATGTCCACCCTTACATAAAATCCTCTAAATTTTGAGTATAAATCCTAAGTACCGATTTTGCATGTGCCTTCTCTATCCCCGATGTAATTAGACACATGTTTTCTTTACTTAACACCTACATAACAGTGTTAACTTCTAATAAAATTCAAAAATAAATAAAATTCATGAAGAAAAAAAGAAAAACCCAACAACCAATGCCAGCGGTTTGGTCGAGGGTTGCCACTGAACTCCACATCCATCCACTACAACTACTGCACCCCGCCAATGGCAACCCCCTCCCCTCCCTCCTTACCACCAGGAAAGCCTATCCCTTGTTTCTTCTGCACCATATCCAATTTTAAGATTTTCTTCAAGTCGATCTTGATTCAAGAGCAACATCATTCTCTTTTCTTATTATGTTGTGCATATATTTATAACATAGGCTTGTTGAAACTAAATAATCAGATTAATTACTGTTCTTGAAAATAAAATAGTTGGGAAATTGGGGAGAGAGAGAGAGAGAGAGAGAGAGAGAGAGAAGAGAGAGTAGGCACCTGACGGCCAAGGTGAGAGAAAAGAAGATAAAAGAAAAAAGAAATAGAGAGAAGATCCACCTAACAACGAGAGAAAAAGGGGAAGAAAGAAAAATATGATTTTCAATCTTGGGATAACAAAAAGTACTTTTTTTTGGAGTGGGCTTGGAGTTGGGATTGAGGTATAATTGATAGGTTTAGGCTCAATTGTTTAGGCTTGAAGCTGGGAATGGAAGGTTGAGGTAAAATGAGGCCCACTGTGTATATACAAAATAAATAAAAAATATTAATTATATTCAAGCCAGTTCAGTTCAGCCTAGTTTGATTTTTGGAGGCATGGAATTGAAACCGAAACCAGCAAGAACCAGTCAGTTTATTGACCGATTTTTGACTTTTTGGTCAACTTAGTTTTTTTTTTTTGTGGTTTTTCTGGATGCGTTTTGGCTCGACTTTCTTTCTGGTTTTGCCGTTTTGAATGCCCACTCCTACATAAAACCCTCTAAATTTTGACTATAGATCAACTATACTGATTTTGCATGTGCCTTCTCTGTTCCCCAATGTAATTAGACACATGTCTTTTTACTTACCACCTACATAACAGTGTTAATTTTGCATACCAGTTTTAATTTAAAAATAAAATAAAAAATAAATAAAAATTGATTGATGAAGAAAAAAAAAAAAAAAAAAAAAAAAAAAAAAAAAAAAAAAACCCAGCCACTAACAGAGGTTGGTCAAGTGGTTGCCACCATAACCACCACACCCCACTAGTGGCAACCCCTTCTCCTCCCTCCTTGCCACCAGTAAAGCCTCTCTCTCTCTCCCTATGTCTATCACTTTCTGCCTCTCCCTTCCTCTCTCTTGTTTCTCCCGCACCATATCCAATTTTAAGTTTTTCTTCAAATCGATCTTGATTCTATAGCCACATCATTCTCTTTTCTTTTTATGTTATGTGTAGACTTATAACATATGCTTGTTGAAATTGAAAAATCGGATTAATTACGGTTCTTGAAAATCAAATAGTAAGGGAATTAATATATTGTAAAGGCTTAAAAGGGGGAGGAGAGAGAGAGAGAGAGAGAGAGAGAGAGAGAGAGAGAGAGAGAGAGAGAGAGAGAGAGATTAGGAGAAGCTTGGCTAGCAGCAAGGAAAAGAGGGGATTCCACCCAATGAGTGTAGTTGTTTGGATTTTTAGCAGTTTGGTTAGGTATTATTTCGGTGTGGACTAAAACCCACTTCAAGTGGAGGTGGAACCCAACTTCAAGTCGATTTGGAACCTAGTTCCAAGTCGAGGTGGAGCACTAATCAGCCTAGTTGAGTCAAGCACCTTGGTAGCCCAGTCGAGTCCACACAAGGGGCTTCTCACAATGGCAACATTGAAGGATATAGATGAATGAGAGGAAAGAGACTGGGATTTCAAATTTAGCTCATCCCAACTCTGCTCGGTGCACTTGAGAACTTGGTCACTTTAGTGTAAAGTAACTCCAACATTGCTTTGGTTTTAGTAGGTGCTGCAGAAGCATACCCAGCAAAGTGTGAAACCCAATCTTCATATTACCTTCCAAATTCTTAGTTATTATAGGGATGTCTAGTAGGATTGCATTTTTGCCTGCACCTTGTGATGAATTTATCCAAGCCTGTAGTAGACATGGGAGCAGATAATGGTCCGAGTTCAAGCCATTTTGCATACAAATCTCCAGTAACCGCCCAATTTTCTCCATAGAGAAAAATAAAATTGACCAGATTTTTGGCTTGGTAGGAGGCTGAGAGAATGCCTCCAGATAAACTTTTAACCAAAGCCAATAGTACAACATCTAAAACAAAGCAGAAGTAAGAAGCAAGTTTAGAAAGTCTTATGAAATTTAAACCAATGAAATATGCTGATTCGGGGGATTTATTGAGATACACCTTGAGGGGATTGATGATGGACTAGCTAAGACAAAATAGTAGTAGCTCACACAAAATAGATAGAAGTTGAGAGAAATGTGAGAGTCACGTGAATAAATAGGACTCTTCTTAAATAGATCTGATACACCTGACTTAAAGAAAGCTAGATTGCATCTTACATTCCTCCCTTATTAATGAGGAGAAATTAGAGGTCACCTCTCTTGGTGATTTCTTGGGGAACCAAATAAGGTCTTTCCTAAAAGATGATCAACTCAAGAATGTCACCTCTCTTTTGTTTAAGCTCAAAGATTCAATCTTTGCTTCCCGTTGCCTAGATATTTAATGTAATCTCACCTCTGTAGCTTAATGAAACTCAATCTTTTAAAATTTCCTTCACCTTCTCCACAACAAATTGGTATTAGAACTTTGGTTCTGACTTGGGTGTTGATTGTGAGTGGATTTGATGGCCAGAGACAGAGGAAACAGTTAAGGTGAAGTTGTTAACTTCATCTTCATCTTCATTTAAATCTATACGGTTGCTAATATGAGGTTAGAGGTTGATAGATTCAAAGGCTCTAATAATTTTGGCATGTGGCAATGTGAAGTTTTAGATGTATTATATCAATAAGAGCTGGATATTTCTTTGAAGGATAAACATGAAGATATTGATAAAAAAAACTCGGCAATGCTTACCAGCTAGGAATGTCCTTGTTGCAAAAATGGTGTTTCGAGGTTGTCATGTTCAAGTCGGAAGCGTGGTATTGGGGGCTAATCTAATTCCTTTAGAGATTGTGGACTTAAACTTTATTCTAGGGATGGATTGGTTAGTGAAGTTGCAAGGATATTCGGTTTTGAAGCCAGGGACAACAGGTGGTAACTTTTAGTGCAGAGGGTAGAATTCTCCCATCGTTCTTGATTTCATCCTTAATGACGACACAATTGCTTAGAAAGGGATGTACGAGATATCTAACTCATGTGATTGATATTGAGGATAATACATTGATATTGGGGGATATTCCAGTGGTGCAACAGTTTCTCGATGTGTTTCCATATGACCTTCCTCGATTACCTCCCCATCATGACATTGAGTTCACTATTGAGCTTGTTGGAGAGGAGGTACGTATTGAAATGGAAGCTTTTGAGATTTTTGGGATAGAAAAGTGTATGAATCAATTATATAATATGTTAAGGCATTGCTTGACCTCTGTACTTACTAACAGGACCAAACAGCACGATTTCGTAGACTTAGTCATGCCAATGGTACATATTCATATTTAGTATTTAGTATTATTAAATATTTCAAGCCTCTATTACGACACTTGAGTCTCTATCTAGTATACTTTCCTTTTGTACAATATCACTTTAAAGTTTTTCGTTCCATGGCACTTGAAAGCTATATATAGTGCTCATCAATTTCTACCATGAGGAGTTACTTTGCTATGTAAAGAGAGATTATTTGTATGTAATATTCTATATGTATTTATCAAACTTATTAATCTCTTTTAATTAATAAATAGTCTAGTGGTTTTGGGAGTATTGATATCACATTGTGAAATTTGCTTTTTATGACTTGTTTTGGATTACTCAAAGACCTTGATCTCTACTTGCCAGTGTGAATGTCCATAGTTTGAACTTACGTTTTATCCCGCATGTATTTGAATTTGAAATTTCAAATAAGTTATATGTTGGGCAATGAGATAATTTGCATAAGTTAATTCTAGTTAATTCAGATTAGATAGATCATGAAATGACATTGTAAAAAGTATGAGTGGTTGCGGTTCGATTACTGCAACTTTTCAATGAAACCGTTAATCGACCGACATGTTGTGGTATGTTAAAAAGACAAACCATGAACCGACAGACATATTGCGATATACCGTATGTTGGTATACCGCAATTGTCGGCATAAGGAACATAACATTACACATTACAAAAAAAAAAAAAAAAAAAAAAAAAAAAAAAAAAAAAAAAAAAAGAAATAAATGCTCTCATGCTTAAAAATACTGCGGAAATATTAACAACCTAACAACATTACTAACACAACAGATGAGTTTGCAATACTAATTGAAACCCAGGTTCCTACTAGATAAAAGTTTAATTATCTGATTAAGTTATATTAATTCGCTAAATATTCAAATGATATTTCTTCAAGGTTGAGATTTAAAAAATAATAATAATATAGCGAACTTCAAGAGATTGGCGGAGAATACACTTCATTAGTAATACAATCAAAGCCTAGGTGAGTCCCACAGAGAGGAAGAAGATGAGAGAGAGAGAGAGAGAGAGAGAGAGAGAGAGAGAGAGAATAAAAAGAAAAAGAAGAAAAGAATAGGAAAGAAAAAGAAGAAAAGAATAGGAGAGAAGAGAGAATGATTCATCTAAATGATGAAGTCCTAGCCTATGTTAGCTAGTATAAAATAATTATAAGGATTTATTTTAATAATTGATTAAATTATATTCCGGTTTGTAGTATACAGCATTATTTAGATATGTGGAACTGCAACCGCATATTGCCGTCGGTTTTATAAACCAAATGTTGCAGTCGGTTTTTGTAATAGGGCTATTTAGATGTGGTAAAACCTCGGTCGGTATTTGCAGTTTTTTTTATCTAAACTACCAACCCTAGTAAAAAGTTGGCTAAATAATATAAACACATATAAACTAGTACAGGTAGATGTCTACCATGACTCTAACAAACCTTTGTTTCAGCCTCAATTCTACAACGATAGATGCATTCAATGTCATCTTATATGATCCAAATGCTCGACTTACTACAAGGAAAAATCGTTTTAGCGATGAACACAGTTGGTGGCTAAAAGATCAAATTTTGTCGCCAAGCATCATTATCGTCCAATTTTGTTTCGTCGTTAAGTTTGTCACTGAAAGCTCTTGGCTTAAAATAATAAGCGAGCAAACAATATTTCGGTCGCCAAAGAGGTTCCACGACCAAAATAGTTCGTCGCTTATCGGATCCTTTTTGGTCGCCAATGAGTAGGTGGTTTGTGCCCAAATGCCCAAATTTCCCTTGAATTGGAAGGCATTTCGAGTCAAAATAGATATTTGGTCACCTTTCAATTATTGCGACCATGTTATTTCATCTGTAAAAGTGTGCTTTTTTGGTCACAAAATGCACTTTTGGTAGAACTATAGCGAATATTGGCAACCAAATGTATGGTCACCAAAAATATACATTATTGTTTTAATTAATTTCATTTATATTTAATTTTGGGATATTATTAAGCTTTTATACTTTATATTAGTCCATAAAAAAAGTTATTATTTGAAAATCATTAAATTTAGGTAAATAAAAGTAACAAAAATTGACTAACATTAATAAAAGTTTTAAAAGTTTAGCTGTACATGAGGATATATATCATCAAGACAATTCAGCAAAACCAAAAACTAGCCAAAGCTTATATCATCAAGACAATTCAATAAAACCAAAAACTAGTGACCCAAACCAACACTGTCATCATTATCATCACCATAGGTTGGATCACCAACATGCTGAGGAGGAACACCCATATCCATATCTGGGGGCAGAGAACCCACATGGGTTCACATCCACTCGATAACACCCAAAAGTTTACTTACTGTGCCTTGAAGCTCTTCAAACTTTTGCTTTGTAACCAAAGAAGAAGTAGCAGTAATTTGATCACGTGAACTCTCCACTCGTAGATTAGAGCCCAAGCCTTGTATTCTTCTTCCCTTTGCAACCTCAAGTTCTACAGTCATGATCTCTAATTGCTATTGTTTAGAGACTGTGATATGATCTAGTTCAATTCCTGAACTCTCTGCCAATTCTTGCTTGGCCTTCTCATAATCTTCCTATCATTTTCTTCTACAAAAAGAAACAAGATAAGGATAAGAACAATATGAAAGTGCAGAGGAACACTAAAATGCTTTCAGCATCAGCAATTCAATTAAGAAATATCTACTTCATTTCATGCAAGAATAATATATAGAAACAACTACAATGCTTCATATTTGATAATTTTTGGTAACTCAGTAGTCAATACCAACATTGAACTGCTATTGCTGTAATCCTACAAAGAAGACCTACAAATATTCTAACAAGAACATAATAAACAATTTCACATGCTTGTAGTGTTAGAATCCACTAACCCACTTCCTCCAAGTAAGTGCCTCAACATCAATTCGGATCTTCTAAAATGTAAGAGAATACTCCACTGACCCAATTCCTCCAAGTAAGTGCCTCGACATCTTCTACTTCTTCTAATAGAGGCTTGCTTGTTAATGAAATGGAAATCTGCAGACTTTGGGCGAGAATTAATAGAGGGAATAATCCATTTGGAAGGGAATGACTAAAGGGAGGTTGGGAAATTATAGGGAAAGGAAGCCAACTGCTTAGAATGACTATATTGTCCTTAAAAGGAAATAGAGAAGTTGAGATAAGGATTAAATAGCCATTGAAATGCATGCTTTATAGTGGAATCCATGGATGCTTTCTTGAGCCGAGTATTGATTGTAATAGGCTCGAGTCACCTCATATTGGCACATTTGAAAGCATGTGTCACGTGACTGCGTTGTACAAGAAGGAAAATCAACAAGCCTCCTATACAAGACAGTACCATATTTAATTTTCTTTATCCTATAGTCATTGTAATTCACTTTTATCCAAAGTTGGTCATTTGAATGGTACCTCCCATTCGTGTATGGAATAGTGTTTTTTCTTTGTTTGTTTACAGTGTCAGTGTAGACCTTATGTGAAAGGAAGTACGCATATTGATTAGAACCACGTAGTGTTGCCCTTTCTGTTGAAGGTAAACCCATTATACAAAGTCAGTATTACTATATCTAAACCTTTGACAAAGATAGTAGAAGATGAGAAGGAACTCCAATGAATATACCCAATAAAAATTCTCAGGTGTGGTAAAAATATTCACCATTTGAATGGGATAGCTTTTAGCGAGTTGCCCAGTGATAAAATCAATGAGAGTTATGTGCATTGTCAAGAAACTAGAGTTTTGGAAAATGATTGGTAGCCCATCCTCCCCCAAAGAATATTCAGGACTCGACAAAGAGTTAAAGTAGGGCTAATACTCCTGAAGACAAATTTGTGGTCAGAAAAACATTGAACTTAAACCACTCCCAAGCAAACAAAAGTAAATAATTGTACAACGGCAAATGCGTACAATGTCATCTTACGTAATCTAAGTGCTCGACTTAGACTCCACTAACCCATTCCCTCTAGGTATGTAATACCCTGAATAATTAAAAGTGGACTTTTTTATTTTAGTGAAAAAATAATATTGTAGTGAAGAATAATTATGGGTATTTCATCAAGTGATTTTGGACTGAGACTATTGGATTAAGTTTGTTTAATTTCAAGTATGACAAAAATGCCTTTACATAACATTTTGTGAATTTTTCAAAGCACATTTAAGACATTGAGGTGAGACAATTATGACTCTTAGGTAGTACGATAGCAGTTGACTTAACGAAAACGTAGGAAATCGTTTCTGAATTTTTGGCCAAAATGACCAAAATACCCCTATGTATGAAAAATGACCAAAATACCCCTATGTATGAAAAATTACCAAAATACCCCTATGTATGAAAAATTACCAAAATACCCTTGTAGGAAAAAAAAATATTTCTGAAATGTGGAGGGCATCAACCCACCCTCCTCCCATTCTTCCCCACTTGCCTCAAGCTTTCAAATCCTCCATTATGAAAGGATGAGTCACCAGCCTAAAGTGATGACTCACTTAACCTAAGGGGTCTTCTCTGATTTCTTTTAAAGCTAAGAGAGAGAGAGAGAGAGAGAGAGAGAGAAGAAATATTTAGTTTTGCAACGTGTAGGCAAACCCCCTCCTTTCCCTTCATTCATTCCCCTTTCCTTATTACCTTCTCTTTCAAAATCTGATTTTGATCTCAATTAGGGGTGAGTTGTTCACCTATTAGAGATGATTCACCTAGTCTAGGCTAAGTGTAATGATTGCTTAAGTTAAGGTAATATTGTGGGATGAAGGAGATGGAAGTTGGGTGAGGAAGAGAGGAAAAAATCTCTAAGGTGAGTCAAATCACGAATTTTTGATTTTTAACTTTTTTTTTATGTGATTCTAGTCCCTTAAAGAATATTTTGATTCACTTGAGGGATAGGGAAATTGAATTGGAAGAGTTTGAACTTTCATTTTCGGGTTGGGTGCATAGAGCAAGTGTGGGTGTTTATGATTTTGGTTTCATTTTGAGTTTTTAATGAGTTGTAATGATAGGTATGAAATTTAGAAGAGTTTTAGAAGCCTTAGGAACAACCTGGGAGTGAGAGAATGGTTGAAAACGACTTCAAACCAAATCTGGAAAATTGCATTCTCTGGATATTTGCAGTCCGTGAGCCTTACTTTGGTTCTCTTTTTCTCCCACTCCTTTGAGAGTAAGGAAGCCATTTGTTGGGTTTTAAACTAGACGTGGCAAGGAACAAAACACAATTGGTTTCGTTGAATTTTGTTGAATTTTGATACATCAAACACATATCCAAAATTTGGACAAAAAATATGTTTTCTACAAAAAACCAGCCACAAGTCTAATTTTGGAGCCGGTTTTCTCCTTCGTTTTAGCATCGTTTTCAATGCGATTTGTTAGGTTTGAAATTAGAGGGAATAAGCTTCAAAGCCACTGTAATTGTGCCCAATTTCGTTAAGTTTTGGTTAGTCAAAAAGTCTCACAAAATTTGAGTTTTAGTCTAGAAAAACAAGGGAAATTTGCATAATTTTTTTTTAGAAGATGATGACCAGTAACTACAGCCAAGCCGACTTGCATATCTGACGAGTGGCGGCGTGTGGTTGCTGTTCCGACAACCAACCTTCGACACCATATTAGTAATCCATTCGACTCAATTTCTCAACCCAAGTCCGATGGTATATGTTTTGAGTGAATACGAGGTTGTACGTCGATGCAGATTTTGTTTAAAGTATCGGTTGTTGTGAGTTCCACGGGACCTAAATAGTAACTTTTGGATAACGGGTGTCGTTGGCCTTATTTCGCTGTTGACAGGGTATAGGACACAGTTTTAGATTATTTTGGACGAGATTTGGCCGCTTTGGACCCCGAGTCGGTCCTAGAGGCATTTTTGTCACTTTTACACCAAATCTTTGAAATGTGTAGGGTTGAGGTGTTAAGTTGAGGTTTACTGGTCTTATGTGAAATAGAGTGAAGACTGCTTAATAATAATTTGAATTTGAATTTGTTCAGAAATTGGATTAAAAGTGTAAATTCAACAACTCTGAGAACTTCTTAAGGGTAAATTTGGTACTTTAGCTAGGTGGACATGGGGTATGGTTTCCTGATTTCCCAATGATTGGGCTATGTCACTTTTATTCTTGGTGCTTATAGATAGTACTATAAATATGAATATTATTATTGCTTTGTTCGATGAATATAATTTGATTTTCGATGAAATACTATTTGATGTTATGTGAATATTATTATTGATGTTTCTCCATGAATTTTATTTGATGTTGGATGAATATTATTATTCATGTGATTAAACTTAAAATATTATTGTTATTATCTGTATTATTATTCCGCAAAGATAAATAATGTTTGAGTAGCATTACATGTGCATCATAAATATGGTTGTGTTTTGGATTTGTGTTTGGGTCGAGGTATATCTAAGGGGTGGGAGAAGGCCTTAGATATATCTGGAAAAAAAATGTGGAATATATTGAGATGATGGGAGTAGGACTTGAATATATTGAGGTGATGGGAGGCTTCTAATGAAAAGTGGAAGTTGAGAAATTCTTAAACAAAAGAAAAATGGGTTAAGGGACGGATGAACACTAGTTCATATTTTAGGGTATTCGAAGCCACAATGGTAAAACGCATGGTATGGGACATGCAGACTTGTTGCTATAAGGTATGAATTAGTGAGATTAGAAGGAAGTGAGTTCATGGCATTACCGCCTATGCAAATTTATTTATCTGGTTTGGTTACATAATTTATGTATCTTCTGTTGTTTGATACATAACACTTTGATTGACTCTGATAGCTGACCTTGAGGGGTTTGACGGTATTCTACTAGGCATTAGAATGTTCATACCCTAATAGATTGTGCAAGATTCAAGCCGAAGTTTAAGAAAGCGGGTTTCAACCAAGTTACTAGGCTTTTGTTGTTGATTTGTGTAATTAATATTTGTAAGTAATCAACCGTTTGATAAATATCTTAGTGTGTATTTAACTACAAGCTACTGCGACTCTAATTTTGTGTTGTTAAGTGAATTTGTATATTTTTCGCTCTATTTCTCATCATATCATAATTGTAGGATTTTATTCTTATTCTCGAATCGGGTTGTGACAAGCTAAGTGCCTCGACATTTTGGGATCTTCTAAAATGTAAGAGAGGACTCCATTGACCTAGTTCCTCCAATTAAGTGCCTCGACTCTTCTACTTCTTCTAATATAGGCTCTTTTATTAATGAAATGGAAATCTGCAAACTTTGGGCGGGAATTAATAGAGGGAATAATCCATTGGGGAGGGAATGAATAAAGGGAGGTTGGGAAATTAGAGGGAAAAGAAGACAACTACTTAGAAAGACTACATTATCCTCAAAATACAAACTACATTTTGGGCTGCAACCTTAGAATGACTATATTGTTTTGCCATGATCCTCTCCTACTAGTCTCTCTCTCTCTCTCTCTCTCAAAGCCAGGCTCTCTTGCCACTACTATTCATCTCTCCTATCATAAATCAAACCATAAATCATATTTGAAT